TTAGGCTGAGGTCTCCGACATCAGGAATGGATTTGAGGGTGTAGTTGAAGTATGAGTACCTCATGCCATATCCAATGGGGTAGATGGTCTGGCCTGTGAAAATTTTGTAGGTTCTACCAGCATAGCCCTAGTCAAGGATGTCATCAGGATTTGCTTCACGTAGTCATTGTAGTACCATGTGAGAGGGAGCCGGCCACCAAGGTTGTATTTTCCATAGATGACATCTGCAATGGCTCTCTCCTTCACCATCAGGGCTACCAGCCCAAAGCATGGCTCTGACAAACCAATTATTCTTGGTTAAATTTATATCAACTCCACCTGACATTATAAGCCCACCTGCAATAGCCATCACTATGTTAATCAGCTCAACCTGTTGGCCAGAAAGAAAGATATCATTCCTATCACGGCACTCAGCTTCAATTTGTATATCCAAGCCCAAGATAAGAACAGTGGCATCTGTGGTTTTCGAGGCACAAACTACGTCTTCGAACATGTTAGTCTCCCGACAATGAGAGTCCCTTCACCTCGGATGATACTCAATAGTAGCATACTTTGAAAGGCCGTTGATAGGGGACATGTACCTGCAAGGAATACCTGCATAGTTTCATCTCATTACTGCATAGTTTCCTCTCATTACATCAGTTGCATTAGCATTGTTCCCAATGACTACAATCTTCTTGTATTTATTCACATCCAACGGAAGAGTATTATCCCTATTTTTCAAAAGCACTATGCCCTCTCTTGCTGCTTCGTTGTGAGCTCAAGGTTTGACTCACTGCACACGTCATCCTTCCCAAGTGATGTGTAAGCAGATTGCCATCAAAACAATTGCACGATGTACAGGTTCACCAATGCCTTGTCCGCATCAAGTTCACCTATCTTGCCTTGTTGGATAGCTAAATAGGTGTAATTTGGATAATAGTTACCACAATCCAAGTCTAGCCTAGCTCTCATGGTTTTAGCAACAATGTCCTCTTGAGTGTCATTGAGAAATTGATGACCATGATACATCACCTCCAACGAATCACAATCTGAAACAATATACCCATTAAGCGTCCATTCAACTCTAATGGTGTCACCCAATAGCTTAGGGTCTGCGCAAGCTGGGGATGCCATTAACCCTATTGTAGGAGCACATCACACTGCTAACATCACCATCCTTGATGCACATCTCAAAGGGTCTTACCATGGTCTCTACCATGTCTCTCTCAGTAACCTTGGCATCGAAGTGGTAACGGTCAATGCCCTGCTAGTTATCAACATCATATGCTGCATAATGTTTAAAGCGAGAGGCAACCTTGAGTCCAAATCATCGGCATATATTCTTGATAGTGCCTTCGACATCCTGCAATCCCCCCACATAGTTGGTGGCATAACAGCCAACGGTGTACAAATCCCCACCAGGGGTCTCAAGCTTGCAGCCCACCTTGGGTCCCTTACCACATTAATATTAGGGCTCCAATATGTGAGACTAGGCATGCCTAGGTTAAACATGGCTCTTGCCTTAGTGGAAACCACCTCTTTGATGGTCTTCCAAAGAGTTTCATTGAAGGCAGTAGTAGAGAAGATCACATTAGGGAAACAAGTAGCCCCTGGAGCGATCTTAGCATCAAAGTGAGTCCCACGCCCTATGTTGGAGACACCATGAAGGACCTCTGACGACCATTTGTACTTCGGAAGCCCCAATTTTGCCACCCTCGATGCTGAGTTTCCCAACTGGTAAACCTTCTATGCAAGAGTCATCCTCTTGACCAAATCCTTTGCTCTAATTGAGTAAGATGAGCTCTTGTTACAGAACGAAAACTTGTTCATGTCAAGTCTCATACGTAGATACCTCAAAGATCACACATAGTTAAAGGGGCTGGAGAGTTTACATTCGATTGGAATATAGTATGCCTTGCAGCATCCATTGACAAGGAAGAGCAGTGAAGCTACTAGAGAGAAAGAGTTGGAATATCGTCATTTTCTCTCACCTTGAGTGAGGACTGCGAGAGAGGGAAAGCAAAGAGGTACGAGAAATGTAGTCATTGTAGTACCATGTGAGGGAGAGCCAGCCACCAGGGTTATATTTTCCGTAGATGATATCTGCAATGGCTCTCCCTCCTTCACCGCTAGGGTAACCAGCCCAAAGCATGGCTCCGACAAATCAATTATTCTTGGCAAAATTTATATCAACAGCTCCAACTGACATTATAATCAGAATCTTAGGCCCACCTACAACAGTCATCACCTTTTCAGCTTGTTGACCAGGAAAAAAGAGATCATTCCTATTTGGACAGCTAAACAGGTGCAATTTGGATAATAGTTTCCTCAATCCATGTCTAGCTCAACTTTCATGGTTTGAGCAGCAGTGTTTTCTTGAGTGTCATTGAGAAACCGTTCCCCATGATATATCACCTCCAACAAATCACAGTCCGAAACAATATACCCGTGATTGGCATCTTATACCCTATGACTATGGATACGGCTGGACCCAACCAAGATCCAAAAAATATTGAGGTCCACAATTTGAACCCATATCCAGACCCGAAGTAGGCTATACCCATTGGATCCCAAGTCTAGTCAGGTCTGTTGCTTCCCCTAACTGGATATATATATATATATATATATATATATATGTTACTAT